CTTGGGATGCTGGTTCGATTCCAACCGTTGTCATTGTTTTGTTTTGGGGTGTGAGCGCTGTCGACGTAACAGCACCTGTAATTCTCAAGTTCCTGTCCACTACTGAAGCTGTTCGACCCAAGGTTTTTGTTCGTTTTGTTTGTTGAAGGAGATTATGTGAGCTCACTAGTTTGATGATCGGTTATTCATTTGCCGTGTTTGCGATTCGCGGGCTACTTTCGCGCTCTACTGTCCTACAGGGTCGTAGCAACGGTCACTAACAGGTCATGGCGATCCGGGTCTTGGGCAGCGCCAGCATGAATCAGCTTGCGGTGGCGCGAAATCCAGTCGTTGAGCGCGCCAGCGACGTGAAGATCGTGTAGGTTCTTGCGGACAGTGGTGGATCCGCGCGACGAGATGTCACGCTCGGGGAGGAACTAGAGCACCTCCTTCTCCGCCTGCTTTCCAAGCGCAAGGGCTCGGTCGCGGTAGTCGTCAGCCCTCGGGTCAAGCACAAAGCCTTCAATGAGGAGCTTCATGTACGCGAACAGCCGCCTCACGTTCGACCGCTGCTGCTTCGGAGAGTCAGAAAGCCATCGTGGCTCCTGAGCGTACCACGCGTACCACGTCGTGTGAAGGTGAGTGACGGAAGTCCGTCGCCACTTGAGTGCTTTGTCTTGCTCTTGTTCTAGCTCGCGCAAACGCTTGACGATTTTGTGTTGCTGTGTGTTGCCTTCCACTTTAGCTTCTAGAATGTCCATGCGTCCATTCTGGCGCTTAACCAGCAAGACTAATTGGTCAATCACATTGCGTTGATGCTCGATGATCGTGTTCTCTTGGTTCGGTCGCTTGCATGGTGCGGTTTATCTCTCTTCCGAGCTCTGCGGCTTTGTATTGCAGGCTGCTGAGGCTAGATGTGTCGCCCAAGCAAGCCAGTCCGCAAGGGACGACCCTGCCAGCTGCACACATACCGCCAAGCGCTTTACCGCTGGCCTCTCAGGATGGAGTCCCTTCAATTGCGGATAATGAAGAAGAAGGTAAGTTGTTAGTACGTCAAGGACACGCTTGCTCACGTTATACTTGGCTTGGTCAAGCTTGAAGCACGCTGCGAACAGATAATGCTGGACAGCTGCGATCTTCTCCTGCGTCTGTGCGTCGAAGGACTTTAAGTCCTTCGAAAGTACCTTCGCGTCCGTACCATATCCGCTGAGAGCCTTGCTAATCTTGTGAGGTTCGCGACTTGTGTTAAAGACGTAATTGAAGCCCTTGTTTGTTGTGCTCATGTTCCAGGCATCACGGTCACATATCCAGCGATGCGTGAGACCTTCGCATCCGTTGACGTGCTGTGCTCCACACCGGCAAAAGGAGTGCGAAGAGAGAGCAAGCTTGACGCCAGCAACTGCAGCGATTCGGTTAAGCACTCTGTTGAAGTGAGAGTAGATGGTTGGTGTCTTCTCACTGGTAGCAGAACCCGTCGACACGGCAGCAGCAGCGCCAAGAGCAGCGTACTCATCAGGGTGGTCGAGCACCTCCAGAAGAGGCGTGGCTGGGGACAAGGAGACTGTAGCTTGGACATGCAGTGGCGGCAGGTTGTCCAGCAGATCGACGCATGAAGCGGCCTGCGGCATGAGTGCCAGAGCGATTGCGTACACCGGCCAGGTGACGAAGCCCAGATCTGGGAACAGCAACAATCCTTGCTCCTCGGACGTCTTTGAGCCTGATGAACCGCACGAACAAGATGTATCCAACCTTACTTGAGTTTTGTATGCGCTTGAACTACCTATGACAACACTCAAACTAATTTGAACGAATCATAATTCACTAAATGCTGAGTTTATACCAATAGATCTTGTTAGGGGTAGGTGAGTCATCAAAGCCAGCCATTCCGACGTATCAGGCCGGAAAGACACGAGAAATATGTGTATGTTAATTCAAAAATTCAGTAACCAACATATGACTTGCATATTTGCAATACATCCGACAGCATGGGACTAGAAGAGCTCTAGCCAGGAAAAGGTAACCGCCATCGCGGCGTTCAAGGCTTTTAAGAGTGAGTCTGTAGATTTTGATTATGTATGGAGATGCATTGAGAAAGATGATAGCGGATAGTGCATTGTGTATATCTTAAATATGTTTGGTATGTATCTGGCCTTTAACAAAGGCAAGAATGGCAAAAACAACTTGCCCACAATCTGGCTATGCAGTACTATAGGCGGACTAAAATGTGATTTTTTTTAGCTCTTCCCCACGCAACGACACATTGTCGAGCAAAGTTGCTAAGCATGGGGAAGTTGCTAGAAAATTTATGCTTGAAAAGAGACGGAGAGGTCGTGAGCAAGGCACCACCATGCAGTAAGACAGACTTACGTAAGATGATGCTTTATTTGTTTAAGAATGCGTCTATGTCAAGCGCCTACCAAGACGCAGCGCTGCTATACATGCTGTGGTACCTGTTTGGACGCGCGTCCGACTTGTCAATCGTGCAGAAGCAGAATCTCACCATCGACGCTGCCGACATTATGTGATAATACTCATCCAAATGCCTCCGGAAATCACTCCATTAACCACACGGTTTAGTGTGTTAATCACCGGAAGATATCTGAGTCTAAATTAAGATGGAAACTCTAAATAGGAGTCAGATAAGAGAAATACGGCCTTTTATTTAAAGTCTAACAAGGCCAAAACCCCGGCCGAACTATAACCTGGTTAGCCATACGGGGTGCCGGTCACAATAAGAGCCTGTTAAGTAGCTTGAATCACAAGAAGCTGTGCTTTAAGCTATTATGCCAACGAAATGCACACAGCGCCTTACGGAACGATTGTAAAGCATTTGAATAGCGCGATTGAATGTTTTAAATGGTTTACAGCAAGCCTGCGTAACGTTAATATATGGGTTTAATATATGGGTTGATGAGATACTGAGCTTGCATGAGCTCCAGGAAAATGAGTTCGACGCTGAAACCGGCCGTGAGTACGATGCTCATAAATTGCGGTGTGGTTATGCAACATCACTACAGCTGACACGCTGTTACAGTAAACTGTTTATGCACAGACAGGAGTGTATCCGCGTGAAGCTCGACCTAATGGTCTAGGAGAAGCGCGACTAAATCTAAACAGTGGAGGCGAAAGCGGAAGCATACCGGTGCTTTAAACAAGCAGGACCACCCGGCATATCATCGGAAACACCTCTCTTATACATCGCATACAGTATTAAACATATTTGACAGGTGACCGGAAACACGATTGGCATGAAATGTTGAAATGAAAAATCAGGACACGAAGGTTTGCTTTGATTAACTGCGTAAGCACATCATAAACTAAGGCCCCACGACAACAAAAGGTAAAAATCATGGCTGCTACATCTACTGTAAAACCTGGCTCCATCCTCAAACAGTACCCTCGCTCGAAAAGTTGTATTGTGGAGATCACCGCAACATTTCAAGTCTTGGTTGGTCAAAAGTCCAAAATAACCTCGATGCTGTCCAAATCTGTAAGATGGGATGTCACCACTGCTAGCTTGCAATCACACTTTTTTTATTCTCAATTCAGCCCCTCTCATAAAGCCGAAGGGAATCGGCTTGATCGCCTTTCTGCGTTAAAGCCAATTTGTAAAATAAGCCGCAAAGGCAGATCCAAAAAGCCGATTCAGAATCACGATAAAGCCGATCGGTAATTTGCATACTATGCACTTCTGGGCGTATAGCTGATTTCGGATGCTATTATACGGCCAGTGCACGTGGCCACGTCGTGTGATTGATGGTGGATCCCTCCCTCGCGTTTTGTCTGCACTTCACTCCAATTCACAAAGGAAAACACAATGGGGTGTGCCCAAAGCTTTGAGAGGAAGCAGTTCGCTGAAACAGGCTTACCCGATATAGAAAAAGGCCGCAGCTTGTGTGCAAACATTGTTTGGCCGCTTACGGAGACAAAGCACGAAACAACGACCCACCCGCGCCCAAGATTGTGGTCGGAAGAGCAACTTCATACACAAATCATCTCAAGCGCTGCAAATTCTACCAAGATGCCGTAAAACGCGGTGTAGTGGCGCCGCCACAGGTTCCCCAGAAACTTTTACGCGTCTTCTTACAGAAAAACGCAGCACAACCTAGCACTGTGGTCGAAGAGGCTTTGTCTACAAGTTCTAACAAGCGCCAGCGGCTTATTCGTGAGCACTTTGACAATGTCTTTAGTGAAGACGAGCTCGAAGAGTTTGAGCGTCTGCTCATCCAATTTCAAGCCGATAACTGCTTGCCAGATCGCTTTGTAGAAAAGCTGTCAACGTTGCGTCTCTTCATCTTTCTGAACAAGGCCTGCGCCCGTGGTATTCCGAAAAGTAAACAAATGACTCGTATTTTGGACAAGCACAGCAACGTAGAAGAAGAGGGCCAGCTCCTGGCACTGAGCAGCAGACTCGAGTTCAGCGGAGGGCCGCAAGTTTGGGTAATTTTGAATTCGGCCTGACGTCGCCAGCAAAGCTCCAGTACTGTCCTACACTTGCATTAAAGCGAACAAGAGAGCTGTCGACAAACATACCACGGTACCAAGCATGGAGATCAGCAGTCAGACCCTCAACATTCTGTTCGTGTTTGCTAGCAACATATCGTCAGTAGTAATACATCCCAGAACCACAGAGTCGCTCGAGCAACCGTGGTGTCGGCGCTCTTTATGCATCGCTACTGCAACATGCCTAGAATGCTAGAAAAGTGACAGCAGCACCAGTGGTAGCTCACACTGCTGCCACCGCTTCTCAACCAACCATACGAGTCCCAAGTTATCAAAATCACTGATGAATCCACGATACATATATCGCGATATGATACCACGACGTCCGCGAGTATGTTTTCATCTCGTTGTAACTTGTAGGAAACGTTAGAAAGGGACGGATAACTTCCTCGGCAGCTGATAGTTTTCTCCAAAAATCTGAACCGCCAAAGACGTGGAGCGGTTGAAGGAAATCGTCGCCATTGCCGTAAAGTATGACAAATTGAAGTAGTGAGGTTCGGACACGCAAACTCGACGCGAAACATCCTTGCATGCTGTTCCATCGCGTTTCACATAGATTAATAAAACCCAATTGTTCTCCGTAGGATGTAGAAACAATGTTTTGAACTCTCACCAACCACTTCGATGACGAGGTTACAGTTACCAGCGGAGCTTGTTTAGTCACCTTCCGAAAGGACGCATTCAAAACCGCTTTCACCAAGTTGTTTATATCGTGAGCGAAGCAGTGTACAAATGAAATACGAGGGTGATGGAGTGCTAGAATACGTCGGGCTCGACCACACTGACCTGCGTTGTCGGTTACAACTTCACCGATCTCCCATCCCTTTGACTTGATCTCAATCATCACGTACTCCATTTTTTTTTCCACTATAGCAACGTTATGTCTTGAGCCGGTAGGAAATAGTCCATAGGTCACAATTGTACCAAATAAAGCTGGCATACACCCCAACAAGTGCAACTTCGCAATATTCTGCCACACATCAGCCAGGAAGTTCAGTCGTAGTCATTCTATCTATCGCGGTTAACACGGCCACATGTGAAAGATATTTCAGCGAACTCGCAGCGATTCATACGGCGCTGAGGGGCGTTCTTAACAACGCCATGCCATGCCACGGCATGCCACGCTGGCATTTCATTGATTCGTTTTTGTTGCATAAAAAGACGACGTTTCATGGGTGGCAAAACCTTGGTGTCGCCCAACGTGCCACTACCACACCGCCATCTTCACTTTTCTACAATATTCTCCGCTGTTTCGAGGTTGAAAATGGAGTCAAGACTAGTTGTTCTCGTTCTAATTCTACTCCTGCTCGTCCTTATTGTGGCATTCAGGGCCGCCGATTATGGCATGTATATGCGTTGAATGCACTGCTGAAAAATAAAAATGTCACCGTTATAGCAAAAGAATGTCATAAATAATGACATTGTAAGAAAGCGAAACATACATAATGTCATTATGTAAGTTATTGACGGGCGCTATCTACAACACTTGCATCCCAGTAGCCTGCGTTCTAGCGAAGGAACAGGATCTGCTCCAAGGTAATTGGTTGCAGACCATTGCGCTCGTGCCCGAACGTTGTTCGAGCAATGCTGAAAAACCTCTCTACCATGTTGGAGGTTGGCAGGACACTACGCAGAAGCACGTACCGCTGTTCTTGCTGAGCCAGGCGCCTACGCTTTTCCACGCGCTCCACGAAAGAACCTTCAACATCTTCGTTGGCGGGACGCTCACCCGAGGTCACTTCAAAGACCCTGAGGGCCGCTTTTTCCGACCGTGTCAAGCGGGAAGTGTTGCCCCGTAGCACACGCGCACACCCTGACTCGAAGTCGGGACTGTGTACAATAGCAGAGCGTGGTCCTGTATGTAGCATGCGTGTTTGTTAGTTTGTAAATAAAAACAGTAAACATGTGAACCGTACCGAGATAATCTGCATATTGCGGCTTAATGCCGATAAGGCCATCAAACCACTCTCGAACGTCAAGAAGATCGACGTTCGTACCTTGTAGAGCCTTCGAGACGGACTCAACGTCCGTCAGTTCTTTCAGAAGGGCACGCAAGCGACGATTGCAGGAAGCTGAAGGAAGTAGGTCCGCAATCTCATCGTCGGTCGTGTCCAGGTGTTTCAACAGTTCGAAGTACCGGTGCTGCATCATAAACGTGGGCCTCCACCGAGTGTCTTGGCGGATAACAGATCAGAGGTCCGTTTTCAGGCTAAAAAGTATTTTAAAAACATATTTAAAAAAATGTAAGTTTAAAAATCATTTTAAAAAAAGTAAACAAAAACGTACCGAAGTTTAGCCGATTGAGTCAGAGTTCGGAGCTTGATCGTCAGCGCTTGGACTTCTGCAAGATCAGCCTCGTGTTCTTGCAATTCATGTTGCACGGCTCGGTTGAGCCTGTGGGACACACAGCCAATTAGTGGCACCCCAATTAGGGTTGCCAACCGCTTATTAACACTGCAGTTGTCCCCCACGAGAAACGCACACTGGCAGAAGTACATCGTAAACTTGCGTGGTTTGACCTTGTAAATAACACACACTTTGCATGAACGATGGCGCCGTTTCACACCTTGCTCACTGTCGACAGTATCTGTGTTTTCCTCTAAATAATGGCCCACGGTAGCAGGCCGATGCGAACGCGTAGGCTCTGACCTTGCCGGTGACGGTGCCGTGCGCTCCCTCGCAGAAGTCGCTTCCTTCAAGATAAACAGGCATGAGGCATTGTTAGTTGGTGCTATGATGAATACTGAGTCGTATGCAAACCGTTATGTTGATATGTCAACATACTACTTACCGCTATATCGTTGAACGCCTGAACCGAATCAACCGCGATCATTTGCCTCATCATCTCCTCGAACAAACGCGAAGTGCTTGGGCGGGCGCTTGCTGTTCACCTTTCTGTGGTATCGGTGTACGATGAAGACCTTTACAAGTGCCATGTCGAGAAGGCCCAAAACCAAGATCCGGTAGTATTTGCGATTTGTAGCTCAGTTGTACGCTGTAGTGCTGCATCCGGAGCTGGTCGTGCACGCCGACATCACCCATCCAGCGATGGTAGTCGCGGGCCAACTCCGGCGCTGGAACAGGGCGAAGCTCACCATCCACACGCCTTGCCAAACGAACAAAAAAGGAATTAGCATTAGAAATACTCGTTGTAAAGTTACACGAAATAATCTTCATATTACGTACTGACAGTGCCGATCTCACGGCTGCCTCCACTGGATAGCATGTGCACCGGGTTTCTATCCATCCATATCACCGCTGTTATTTCTGGGAACTGCTTGTTTTGCGCCAGTGTGACCGTGCCTTGTGAAGGGTCAAGTACTACAAGAGACGCGACAATGAACTCGGTCTGATCGTCCTAGAATGACAGACAGACGCCAGGATCGCGGTATCATGCGCGAGGTGGAGGGAAATTGCTTCCCCAGTGCCTCCAAACTGGCAGCTCAGGTCGGGAATGAGATCGGCAAGCCCATTTCCCGTAGTACCATTCGCGAGAGGATTCGCGAGACTGGGCTTCAACGATGTTCCGCCCGGAAAAGCCTTTCCTGTCTGCTAAGCACCGCAAGAAGCGGCTAGAGTATGCAAGTACGGTTCGATGACCGTAGACGACTGGGAGGAGGTTTTATTCACTGATGAGACGATGGTGGGGATGCACGGCACCATGGGACGGGTCTCTATGTGGTGTAGGACGCACGAAGCGTTTGCTCCGAACTGTGTACTGCCTACCCTTAGTAGTAGTCGGAAGTCTGTTATGGTATGGAGCTCTATATGTCGTAACAGCGTCGGGCAACTCCACATTTGCGAGGAGTCTGTGACTGGCGAATACTATCGTAAGATTTTGGCAACTGAGATTCCTTTTACAAAGGCTCTAAATGGCTTCCCGGACCGGACTCTATTTGTGCAGGATAACGCTCCTGCAAACACTGCCAAGAAAACCAAGAAGCTTCTTCTAAATCTGAACCTGAAGGCCCTTACGCACCCAGCTCAGAGCCCGATCTTAACCCGACCGAGAATGTTTGGGCTATCTGGAAGTGGGAGCTGAACAAGACTCCTGCGTCGTCTCTCGAGGATTTAAAGCAGAAGTTGCCCAGGGTGTGGTACCAAATACACGATGACGTCATAAAGAGAGCTCTACGCTCGATGCCCAAGCGCCTCGACGCCGTCAAGCAAGCCAAGGGTGGGCATACCAAGTATTAGAGGCAGAAGTTGAAGTTAAATGACTTGATATTTGTATGAGAGATGTTCACATCACTGAACTGATAGGAGGTGCCTTCAATTTCTGCCACCTATGTTTTTGTTGAATACAGCTCTAGCAATAAATACCTTTACGATGTGGCTCATTCTTTTCATAGCTAATGGTCCTACATTATGTTTTCGAACAAGCGAAGTTTCTCGCCAAACGGATACCTGCAGCCGTCGCAGGCTCCGAAAGTGTACGAAAAAGGGAGGGGTGCCTTGACTTCCTACACTCGCTGTAGGTAATACTAGCGAGCACCGCCGCTTCGCGGCGGAGGCACATGTATATTAGTAGTCCCTAATGCCTCCGTTCCGCTCACCGCGGGCTCGCTACACTGCTCGCATGGTTGGTTGGTAATTTGAGCTGAGGCGGGCCTGTAGGCCCCGCAAGGTTGCAAGAGGTGTCGTTTTGGGCCGCCTCGCTTCGCTCAACAGGAAATATCAAATTTTAGCCAATTGGGGCCGCCTTCGCCGCGCTCGGCAGCCAGTAGAATGTGTGGATTTGCGTCCCCTACTAACCCTAGCCGCGGACGGAAGGCCAGACAGACAGACAGACACGTTGCTCTAGTTGATATTTAGTACCAGCGTTGCTGGATTTAAACTATTTGAACAATGTTTTGTCTGTAAAACGTTTTCTCTTGAATAGCACATGGGAAATCGAACTTAAGTGATTTTTAATTCAATTCCAGTAGGGAACTAATACATATAGAGTAAATGTATGTACTGGATCGGTAGCTCTATCGCAGAATTATTTTCACAGACTGGGAAAAATCAGTACTCATGTACTGTTTTCTGGAAATTCCTCGCTCTGTCGAATTTAGAATTTAGAATATGAAAATAGGGTCTCTCCAAATAGGAAATTCATGCTAGGGAAAACTACAATAGGCTGTTTGATAGAGTTACTCTAGCCCTGCCGAAAAATCCAGTTCCATGATCGCATCCTATTGGCTAATAAGCCTTTGTCCTACACATTCTTGCTAAGTACGATTTCAGCAAGTGCACTTTGAATATCGTCGTAGCAATAATCAAGGTCTCCTTGCTCTGCCGAAGACGCCTCGATCGTCTGCACAAACTCGCTACCATGGGCAATGCGTTGGGCACCAAGAAGACGCTGAAGGAGCAACTGCGCGAGAACAAGCGTGAAATCAACCGCGCAGTACGGCAGTTGGACCGAGAGCGCACAAATTTGCAGATGCAGGAGAAGAAACTCATCATCGAGATCAAGAAAATGGCCAAACAAGGTCAAATTGCCAGTGTCAAGATCATGGCCAAGGACTTGGTGCGCACGCGCCAGCACATCACCAAGTTCTACACTATGCGCTCACAGCTGCAGGCGGTCTCGCTGCGTCTTGAGACGGCCAAGTCAGCCGAAGCCATGACGTCAGCGCTGCAGGGCACTACCACGGCCATGAAGGCTATGGCGTCCACTATGAACCTGCCCAGACTCAACCAGATCATGATGGAGTACACCAAGGAGAGTGAGAAGATGGAAATGACGCAGGAGATGATAGGAGACACCATCGACGACGTCATGGACGCCGAGCAGGACGAGGAAGAGGAGGAGAAGATCGTTGGACAAGTGTTGGACGAGATAGGCATCGATATGACCGGAGCCGTGCCCGAGGCCCCGACAGCTCATGCTGCGCCCACTGCAGCGGTAGCACAAGCGGCTCCGGCGGTGGCGCTGCCACCTGCTGCTCCCGTGGCAGCTGGAGGTGGTGGCTCGACGGATTCGGCCATCAGCGACCTTGAAGCACGCTTGAACAATCTGCGACGGTCGTGAGAACCGTGCCAGTTAGCTTTTTCAAGAGAGTAGACAGAACTCCTCTGCATCCTCAGTCTACAGCATTGAATCACTAATTAACGCTCTTGTATGAAAACGAAAGAGAAAGTCACATTATCTACGCACAAACGGCGGTCACTTTGTAGTGGTAGCTGCATCTAGCCGATGTCAGGGATGATCAGCAGACTCTTGGGGATAAGACAGAAGTGCAGCGCAAAGTAGACGAAGCGATGGCATAAATACGAGTTGTCCTCGAACTCCTGAAATACCTCTGGGTGGTGGAAGTACGTGTGCGAGAAGATGCGGTACAGGCGGCGCGAGACCGACTGGAAGTACTGAGTTGCGTTAGAGCTGATGCTCACACGCGACGGGAAAACGCGGCTGCTGGTCAGCAGCGTGTTGACGTTGTCCATGGTGTGCACGATGTACTCGAAGGCGCAGCACTCCTTGGGCGCCTTATGGGCTGCGCACAGGAACACCCAGTCGTCCGTGGCCTTCATCACAGGGCACGACTCGCGGGTGCAGCTACCATCAAGTCGAGCTACCAGCACGTTCAACTCCTTCATCACCTGACGCAGATGTTCATACTGCCACAAATAGGTGTCCTGGTCGTCTGGAACGTCGTAGATCTGCGAGAGAGCGGTCGGGTCCGCGCGGATCTGTCGCTGGATCAGCTGCTCCACCTCGAAGGCGCCACCTGCATCAGCTCCACGTCCTCCCGCAGTCTCCTCCCAGCCGAAAAACTCCTCATTGCGGCTACCAGGCAGGTTCTTCCCCACTACGAGCGTCGTCATCGTCGTTGCAGCGGCGTCGGTTGTAGTATGGCTGAGGAAGTGTTTGGTGTGTCTTACACAATGTGCCACATTCACGAAAGAATTCTTTGACTGAAACTTTGTAAGGAGATTCAAACCCAGGTCAATTTGAATGTTGCTCGAACGACCCCCCTTTTAGACGGCAGCTTCTCGTGGAAGCCCCACTTGTTCCCCACCACCACCAGGGACAATGGACCGGCGGCGACGCGCGGACGATGGCGATGGACGGCGTCGACGCAGTCGCAGTCGCAGTTTCAGCCCCGTGTCTTCGCGACTGCGCTACCAGCTGCGCAGACGCCACACTCGGCCTCCCCCGGTGCCCAGCACCCCGCACCGGCGTCGACGCCGTGCTACCAAGGACACTAATGAGAACGGCAAGCGTAGTCGAAGCCGCAGTCGCTCGCATCACGGCAGCCGCTCTTCGAGGCGAAGAACAGGTGCGCCCCGGAACTATTTTTTATAATGATTGCGCCATTTATGACCCTTTTTTCTGGTTTAACAGACTCGAGAGCGCCGCGATCCAGGTCCCGATCCAGATCCAAGAGGAGACACTCGGGCACCCGATCGCGTACTGGGTCCAACGGCAGTCACCGCCACCGTCGACGGTGCGTCTCTAAGTCATTAATCTGTAATGACGCATTATTGACCAACTGTAATTGTTACATTGGCAGATACAGCGGCCGGAAGCGGTCATCGCGCACCGATAGCCAGACACGCGGACGACGTGGCAGTTCTGAGAACGACTACAATGGCCGCCGTCGCTCATCGCGTGGCAAGAACAAGCAGCGGCACTCGCGGCGACGCGACTCGTACCACGACCGGGAGCCACTGCCGCCTCCGCCGCCGGCTCAGAAGGACGGCAGTGAAGACAGCGTGGCTCACGACGACACAGTGGGCAGCTACGATGGAAAACCTGGGGAATACATTGCCAACCGCTACAAAATCATCCGTGAAGCGGGTCTGGGCACGTTTGGCCGCGTGCTCGAGTGTCTAGACAAGCAACGCAACATCGTGGTGGCCATTAAAGTGGTACGCCAGGTGGAAAAGTACACTGAATCGGCCAAGATCGAGGCTGCAATCCTACAGGACGTGAACGACAAGGACAAGAACAACGAGTCGCTCTGTGTGCGCATGTTCAAGTGGTTTGAGTATAAGGGCCACGTATGCATGGTGTTCGAGCGCCTGGGCTGCTCGCTGTACGACTACTTAAAGAACCACGACTACAAGCCCTTCCCGCTGCACTGTATCCGCGCCTACGCATGGCAATTATTGACGTCACTTGAGTTTATCCACAGCATCCGACTCATCCACACAGATCTCAAGCCCGAGAATATTCTGCTGGTGGATGACGAAGAGGAGAGACTTGCATGCGATTCCTCTTCGCCATCGTCGACGTCTTCCTATGGCTCACCCGATGGCTCTTCTGGACGTGAGCAGTGGTCTAATGGGCGACAGTGGAAAAAACGAGAACGCGCCATGTCGGATGTAGACACTGGACGACTGTCCCTGCGGCCACCAGCAAATAACGCAGTAAAGCTAATTGACTTCGGCGGCGCCACGTATGAAGACGAGTCCAAGAGCTCCATTATCAATACCCGTCAATACCGATCACCCGAAGTAATTCTTGGCCTCGGCTGGAGTTATCCGTCGGACATTTGGTCTGCGGGGTGTATTATCGCAGAATTGTACCTAGGCGAACTGCTGTTTGCCACTCACGAGAACATGGAGCATCTCGCGCTCATTGAGCGCTGTCTCCAACCCCTGCCTGTGAAGATGGCGACCCGGGCATCCAAGAATTCGTGTTCGGCCAAGTTTTTCCACCGCGGCCGACTGAATTGGCCTGCTGGTGCCTCGAGCGACGAGAGTGTAGACCACGTACGGAGGATGCGAAAGCTGGAAGACTTGATCTCCCCCGAAGACGCGAAGAGCGGTCTGCTTGACTTGCTGCAACTCATGCTGGTGTTGGATCCCGAGAAGCGGGTGACAGCCAGGGAAGCCCTCAAAGCGCCATTCTTCGATGGATTCTCGTATCGCAACATCGTGCGAGCTGGTCATAATGATGGATCATGGAGTGGTCACTGAACACTAACGTAGTAGCAAGTAGAACCAATGAAAAAGGAGGACGAGATGGCTAAGCAAACGAGCAAAGCTGGACGAGCCGGAGTACCGACCGGATAGCAATCAGCATGATATGTTTTCTCAATTTACATTGCGTTGACACTCTATCAAACACCTCATTCGTGTGCATGCCGAAAATAACGTTATTTTGCAAGTAAACTTTTATTAAGCTGCTGCTGTTCTGCTTTCCATGACAAAAACTGAGCGACACGACTGAATCAACTTGCTATGCGTTATTTACAAGCTGTAAACTTACAGCTGAACTTGGGGCGCTCCACGTCTGGACTCGGTTGGCACCTCGTCAAAAGTGAGCACTACGTTGCTTCCACCTTCATGGCGAGGGAAAGTGTCCTGGAATTCCATGTTGGGCTCGCTATTCGTGCAGTAGCCCGTAATGGGAGAGCTCACGCGCACCTTGCAGCGCGTACTGCCAAACGGAGATGTTGAACTAACGGACGAGTCGGTTCCTGTGAAATCTACGATCGCTGAAGACGGAACCACGTCGATGCCAACTGCATTTGGTGTGTCCCCTTCCTGTACTGTGGTAAGCGTTCGGTTTTCAGGGGTGAAGTCCGCCCCTCCTGTGTATTCACAGTCGGAGCTGAGACGGTTGTCGCTGTCATCTCCACTCCTATCACGCTTCCTCTTGTACGTCACAGCCATGATAATTGCACCGACGCAGGCAAGAGCCCCAAAGACGGACGGAACAACAGCGGCAATATTAGACGCTTTGCCAGTACTTAACCCACTGTTGCTGTCGTTAAGAGTGTCAACGGAAGCTGTCGTCGACTTGGAGGATGTCGACGCCGATGGTGTAGCATCGGTTTGCGTTGCAGAGTCAAGAGAACTGCGGTCTGATGATCTAACCTTTGCGGGGGTATCAGCTGCGTCCTGCTCGTGGCTGTCAGATGCAGACGCTGAATCCGATTCACTGCTGATAGGTGGCGCTGTGGTAGCAGGAGGTTCCGTTTCTTTCGATTCACTACGAGTAGGAGGTGCTGTGGTAGCAGGGGCCTGAGTTGCTGGGGCTTGTGTAAACTTATTGGTATCCGAGGCGGCGCTACCAATGACAGCAGGGGTCGATGGAGTATCGAACTTGGTCGAACCACCCCTCGTAGTTATTAGAGAATCAGCGGTAGGAGAGAGTGTCAGAGTTGACACTGTCGCCTCCGTTCGAGCATCTACACGAAAATCATTCAAAGGTTAGCGTTCATGAAATATTGGGTATTTCCATTTCTTAATGAGTACCTGCTGCAATGGCGAGCGCCAAGGCTGCAACCAGCAGTAGCCTGCGAGCTGAGCTCATGCTCTGACGTGCTCCTGTCTCCGCTGGCTGGAAGGAATAGTACAGAAGGTTGGCGTTACGGGTGCTCTGCTCCTTCCTGCCTTCTGTACTCGTCTGATCCAAGTCGAAAATGAAGCTCGCCCGACGCTTCGCCTACACGATTAACGCAGCGTCGAACAAACAAAAGCGGGAAGGGTGGCGAACGTCTCTCTGCCAACAGCATGGGACGCTGGCCGCCTTAGTTTGTAGCGCACGCACAGCGTTGCTGCAGAACCAGCTGCACCTATGTAGTAACCCGATGTTTTCACTTATCCACAATGCGCACCAGAAACTCTTCCATGCTTTTCAATTTAAGTCCAGAGGAAGGAATTGCCGCCAACGAGCCAGACTACAGTCACTGCAGCTGGAATTGCTAATGGTGTCGGTCGCACAATGACTTGAGCTACTATCGCAATGATCGTCACACGAAGCACGACGTCAAGCTTATCAGCGCTCCTTCTCATCAGAGTTCAATGACCTTCGATCGTGGCACCACTGAACAGTGGCATACCTCGATCTCTGCGCTGGTGATGCCTCAATGCGAGTGCATACGTGCTTTACCAGCTGCCGGTGTTGTAAGGCTCTGAAAGACAGCTCTTCCAGATGCCATGACTTGCTCGAGTCAAGCATTGAACCAGCGGACAGCGAAATGCGATTTTTTTTCGAGCGAACCCACCAACGCCGCTGTTTTGACGCACACAATGAACTCTGGAAAGGCGAAAATCACGTGCTCCCAGACGTCGACGACACCGGACTGACTGGGCTCAAGCGGGTGGTGTTACCGTAGTATGACGCGAAATAGAGATCGCAAGCGATGGCGTTCGCAATGCTGGTAATCCTCACGGCAAGAACCCCACCTCAACTGACAACTAAGATTTCAAGAACCTGATCCATTTACCGTGCAGCAGCGACTCAAGACAACGCTGCAAGTAAGTCGCTGTCGTCTCGATGGAAGGGCAGTTGAGTTTCGAGCGATGCGTTGTATCTTTAACGTTGTCCTTTCCCACCATGCTACGTTTGCTACGTTGCCCAACGGCGCTTTTCGAACGATGCACATTTCGGCGAGATCAGGAGCGGATAGGACAGTGTAGGTTCATCGAATGCCACGCTGCGATCTGGCTACATGTAGCTCTGCCCCTTGACCTCTGCTCATTGCTATTATATACTACACAAACCTACGCAAAATCCATCAATGCAGGTCAGCAGCAAAATTAAACAACAGCGAGCCCATGACTCAACGGCCTTGAGCAAGAATCGATTTCGCGTACTGCCACTAGTCGATTTCGCGTACCAAGCTGCAAGTTGAAGTGATTCACTTCAGTATGGTGTGAAGTTGGTGTACACAACACCACATCGATTACCGGAATCAGCAGCCGTTGCGTCGCTGACGCTGAGTGGGGGAGATCGGACCATGCATCAGGAACTGGAAGTGAACGACGACGGCGGCCGCGTGCTGAGCATCCAGTCTCATGTGGTGCAGGGCTATGTGGGCAATAAGAGCGCCATGTTTCCGTTGCAGTTGTTGGGTATGGACGTAGACCCCATCAACAGCGTGCAGTTCTCCAACCACACAGGATACGCGAAGTTCACAGGCCGCCGTCTTACGGGCGACGAGTTGCATGAGCTATTGGACGGTATGGAGATCAATGATCTACTGAAGGATGCGCACACGCACCTTCTTACGGGCTACATTGGCTCCATCTCGCTGCTGGACGCCATTGTACGCGTGTACGAGCGGATCCGAGCGGCGCAGACCCACCCGGAGCGCCTCGTGTACGTGTGCGACCCCGTAATGGGAGATCTTGGCAAACTCTACGTGCCCTTGGAGCTCGGTACGTGGGATTAAGTATATGGGCATTGAACGGATAATATTAACTGTAGACCTTTACAGTGGACATGTACCGCTCCAAGGTGCTACCGATTTGCGACGTCTTGACACCGAACCAGTACGAGTGTGAGCTGCTGGCCGAGATGGAGCTCCGTACAGTAAAGGACGCTATGCGTGCGTGCAAGAAACTCCACACTCTAGGCCCGAAGGTCGTGGTAATCAGTAGCTTCCAAGAGGCCTCCGAGGACGAGACACCGAAGGAATTGGTGGTTATTGGCAGCAAGGTCATTACTGGCGGCCGCTGTGAGCAGTATGAGGTGCGTTTCCCGTGGATTGACAGCTACTACACCGGCACAGGTGACCTGTTCGCAGCACTACTACTGGCTTGGCTCTACCGCTTCCCGGACGACTTTAAACGCGCTCTTGAGAACGTCATTTCAACCATCCAGGACGTGCTTCGTATCACGTTAAAACTTGGCGGGAAAGACTGCGACTTGAAGCTCATTCAGAGTCGTCACGTGATCGCCAACCCCACAGTGCGATTCTTTGCCAAACCGCTCTCGGTGCCTATCCTATTCGTACTCGTGGACTTGGACACTTTGCTTGGGACAACGAGTAATGACGAGGTTGTAGACGTCCCAGCTGATGCATCGATCCAGCGCCGTGAGCTGCTCAGTGCGTTGGCGTCGCTCGTGGGTGCTGAGAATGTCAGTATCGTCACAAACTACACAGTGCCGTCAACACAAGCGCTACTCTCAGCATTCAAGGTGATCTCTTCGATGGAAGTTGGTGCGAATGCTGATCATCGGATCGAAACTCGCAACTGCGAGACGCTGGTTGTGTCTAGCTCTGCTTCCCTCACTGCACTGGCGTCTCGCACTCTGTACCAGGTGGCGCCGTCCACTGCCTCTGACGAGGCAGTGCTGGCCTATATCAAGGAGCACAATGCTCAATGCCTTCTTGCTTAATGACTGCAAGACAGTGGCCTGATAGACGAGCAATAGATAGAGCTTCTGTATTTCGGCTGTCATTGGCTCTAACCACACCAACGTGATAAGCACTGAAATTAACTTGTATTGACGCCACCGAACTTATGGATGCGCCGTCACACGTGCAGCGATCGTCGCGTGCGTCGAGGCAAGCGCTCGAGTCCATCGGTCCAAAGAGTCGTACATCTTGCTAGCATCTCGAGCTCTACAAGCATTGAACAATAGGAGGACAGTCAGAAAAATAACCATGCACTAGCAACACCAGCGATACAACGTACTTTTGTCGCGTCTGCAGCACTAGAAGACCTCGACTCTGGTCGATCTTGGCGTCCAACTCGAGGTTCTGAATCAGCGCAACGGCAATGTCTTCGACGTCCTCCGAGGTGATGTTCATACTCTTCGAAAGACTGTCAATACGAATAGCCTGGTACGGACGCACGAGCTTCTTCATAACTTGGCAGCGAATATTGCGCAGCAGCGGGTTCAGATACCGCTTCATGATCGGATCACTCAAGAGCTTGTACTTGGGATTCTTCAGGATCTTCTCGAACTGCACAACGTCGTTGGCTTCATAAGCGCCACGTAATAGCAACATCGCACCAATTTCCTCCACGTCCTGATAGACCTTGGCTTCTCTCGAGTCGAACGGATTGATATCTGAACTCGCCAGCATGTTGGCTAGTACAACATACTTAAGACACTGCTTCGCACGGGCGTTACCCGCTTCCTGATAGTTGCGGAAGCTCTCAAAAAACTCGTTGTAGGCCAGCATCCATTCCTTCTCTTCCAAGTACATTTTACCACCTTCCTCACGAATCACTCTGCGACAGAAGAACAAAACGTAAGTATATGAGTACAAAAATATCTATATCAACAACACGGACCCCATGATTCGCGGATCAGCGACTGCAGCGTCCAGATCCAGCGTCTTCGGGTAGATGAGGCGCATCTTGGCACTGTTCTTGGTCGCGACGCACAGCTACATCAGCAAAAATTAATACACCAACACGTCTTTAAGTCCCTAATTACAGTTCATCCCATAATGCCTCAAGCGTTACCTGGATTTCCAACGCGTAGACTTCCAACAGCGACGTAGCCTTCGAGTGGTCCTGAACACCGTCTGGTGTCTGGCAGTAGTCGTAAAGTTGACTGAGTAGCTTCTGCAGTTGGTCAAATTGCTGCATATCTAGATAGAGTTTGCCCAATTTAACGTTCATGCTGAACCAGAGTCGGTCGTTGTTGACGTCCTTGAGCTTGTCAAGTGTCAGTTCGTACATCTTGGACGTGTATTTAGCGCTGTCCTTCTCCTTCTCCATACCCGTGGCACTGGAGACCACGTCGAGGATAGACGAGATCGATTCCGTGCTCTCATTCCTCGTAACGAACGCCAAATGCTCCAGCATTTGCTCGTAGTTGCGCAGCATCTCCTCCCATTGCCGACGGCTTACGCAGATTTTAACTACATGTTCTAGCGCTTGAAAGCTCCACTTGCGCTCTTCAAGTGGAGTAGCCTCCTTCTCCAATGCCACAACGCGCTGGAAATATTCAAGCGCCTGCGTCAGGTCTCCGCGCTGACGAAAGTCCTCTGCCTCATAGAACGTGTTTTCCAGCGCGATCTGCGCCTCGCGAGCGGCGTTACGTTGCTGCGCGGCCTCGCCATCCTCACCATCGATGGCTGAGCCTTGATCGTCGCTGTCGAACTGCTCGTCGCTGTCGTATTCATACTCATATTCCTCTGAGTCCGACATGCTCGCGATGGATACAGAAATCTCCAAGTGAAGCTTGTCGATTGAGGCAACAAGTGAACATTATCGTGCTGTGATTGGTAGATATTTACATCGACGCAGGATTGGTTGAAAATGTGATGTGGTATTTTAGTGTCGTCAGTTGTCAAGAAACATCAAAAGCCACAACATGCTGGAGCAGTTGAAGGCTAAGTCGACGCAGGCGGCGGCGCTGGCGCTGGACACTGCGGGCTCGCTCAAAGATGTGGCGCAGAAGTCCAACATCGCCAGCTCCCTCAAGGATGCCACGCAGAAAGGATCGGCGGCGTTGCAGGCGAAGGCGGGAGCGCTCAACATCAAAGTTCCGGCAGTAGTCAAGCCGTCGGGATCATCGTCGTCGCTGGCCAGCACTGCAGACACAGCAAATGACAGCGATCTGGAAAGTGGCAAATCTCCATCGAATGCCAACCAGGAGAAGGAGGGGCTGCTGAACGAACTGGGTCAGGAGTGTGGGCTCACAAAGCGCCAGCGGCTCTATGGTGCCATCGGATGCTACTTGTTTGGCTCACTCTGTGGCTTCCTGTCCACGCTCATGATGTGGGGCGGCCCCAAACATCTTAAGCAGTTCGCCTTCTTTTACACACTGGGAACTCTTTGCAGCATTGGCAGCTCGCTGTTTCTGATCGGCCCCATGCGGCAGCTCAAGGTCATGTGTATGCCCGTTCGACGCGTTGCTTGCTGCATCTGGATCGGCGCCATGTTCACGACGCTTATTATAGCATTTGGCTTTCCCAAGGCCGGACCACTCGTGCTGTTGCTCGTGATCATCCAGTACTCCGCGATGCTCTGGTACGGTGCCTCGTTCATTCCGTACGGCCGAGCGATTCTAAGGAAGGGATGCACCAAAGCGGCCAGCTACGTCACCAGCTAGGTCTTCAGCTGATACCTCTCCGAGGCTTATTTTATATAATGGCATCGTTGCATGCAGCGAAAGATATTCGTCACCGATAGATGCTTTTATTTGTTTGTGGATACCGCCGTAAGGATATCTTCTATGCCAGCTGATTAATACTTGTTTGCATATTCCTCTCCAACTTACCCAAACATAATGCACACGACCTGTTGGTTCAAGATGAAGAGGGGCACAATGTAAACCGTTTTCTTATGCTGCTCTTCACTAAAAACAAGTGCAACGGCATTCCTCAACGTTATCTTACTCGCTCCGATTAACATATCTCGGTGTGCAGCCATTTCTACCAGATTTGGCGTGCAGGTCGCCTCAGACCAACCCCGAGCCCAGTGAGCACGTAAGCTTAGCAACTTGTCCCATGAGCTGAAAGCTCAGACCTTGTGCATTGCCAGGTGGTGCGTTCAAGCTTTTTTTGTCTCACAGTGTTACCGATCACAGCCAAGCCAGTGCTGCCTGCTGGTGCTCAAATGGCTTCTCATTTTGTTTGAAAAAGGCGCGCAACCAACTTCCCATACTTCGCTCGGTTTATTAGCAGCATGCGCCGTCTCGGCAGCGTCGGAGAAACGGTAACTCCATTCGACAGACACCTCCGCGACGTGTATGAAGGTCGTGCGCCGGACGGTCTCGCATTCTTCGAAGCGCACGGTTACTTTGATGTGAGTGATACAGCCAACACTGTGCAAATGTTCCGCGAAAACGTCGGCCTGGACGAGTTCTGGGAGAACCGCGACGGTGTTGACACCTTTGACCCGTTCCAGCGTGCAACGGTGTACCCGTTCGGTTCGAAAAGCAAGGTACCAAGCAGCCGCATGCGCAGTGAACTACATCGGACCAACTCGGGACGCTTCACACTGTTGGATGACGACGGGAACCCCGTGACAGAGGACGACTTGCTGGAAATGGAACGTGAGGACCGTCTCAAAGTGAAAAGTTTAGAGCTAGACGATGAGGACATGGCCGAGCTGGAGAACGAATTATTATGCATGAAGGAGGCGATTGAGGTGATCCGCGTCGAGAAGTATCACTTACAACGCGTTTTCTTTCGAGCACTCTACCCTGAAGAGGCTGAAAAAGATTCGACTGACACAGATGATCGGTATAGCTTTCCAGCGTTCGTAGATCTCCCACTTCCGCCTCCAGTCGCTCTGCTGGATCTGCCACCATACAGTGGCAATTTGTTCGTACTTCGAGAGTCTATTGTACTGCTTCGACGCAGCTGGAGCAAGCGCTGGTGTACGTTGGACTTCCAAGCCTTTATCGTCAGAATGTACAAGCGCAGCTACTGGCGAAGTCCTCGCGGTGAGCTCGATCTGCGCTCGGCTACAAAGATTGAGATAATGGGGCACGGAGGCTTCCGCATCGAGTTCCGGGGTGGCAATATGCTGCTCTTGCGCTCAAGGAATGAGAAAGAGGCGGCGAGTTGGGTGTTGTCACTGCGCCTCGCCATGCAGATCATGCGCAGCAACGCAACTCGCTGCCCAGAGATCTCCCGACTCACGAATGGCTAAGAGAGTCGAAGCTGCTAGGTATCCGTTCTGTAAGATTTTAGTGCAGTTGACCACTGTTAGCTCCATTGTCCATTATTCACCGGCAGCAACAATCCTCCCCCAGTCACGCCGCGCTCTCGACGCTGGAATCGAGGGCGTGGCAGTCGCTACATATTATTAATAGCGATTTCCACATGTGCTTTCACTCGTCGACCCATGTGGCCTTCCAGACGACTCCATAGAGTCTTTCCGTCCACAAATCGAGGGGGCGGAAGACGCCATGTTTCCAGCCAGCTTCCCATTCCGCGATCTGTTCAACGTCAGAGTGTTGGTCACATGATACGCAACTCAATTTTGATTAAGCAACTTTGTCGGATTCTCGCATGACTCTATCCCCGTGAAGCAACTTTACTGCTCTTACGGCACTGGACAGTGCCGTAAGCGGGTGAGCTGGTCGAATAAATCAGTGGAAAGTGCTCACAATCGGATTCGCCTCGAGCCACAGAAGATCGTCCCGTAGCCACCATGATGGACCAACTGAAGGAGCAGAGTAAGAAGGCCAGCGACAAGCTGGAGGATTTTGCTAAGAAGACACAGCAGGAACTGGAGAAAACGAGCAAGAAGGCGCAGGAAAGCATTGAAAAGGCCACCAAGCAGACCAAAGACAGCATCAACAGGGCCACCAAGCAGAGTAAGGAGGCCTCGGAGAGCGGCCTGTTCGACTCGGCCAAGGAGGCCTTCCACATCGACATTAAAGAGGACAAGAAAGACAAGAAGAAGACCAAACCGCGCCGTAAGGACTCGAGCGACTCGGACACCGACGAGGAGGATGGACTTCTGGACGATATCGGCGACGAGTTCGACCAGCTCACGCTCAACCAGCGCGCACTGGGAGCCATCGGTTGCTATATGCTCAGCGGCCTCTTTGCCTTTGCTGCCACTGTAATGCTGTTCACCGGTGTGCACCACGTGCGCTTCTACGCGCTCTTCTACTCGCTGAGCAACATCGCCACCTTCTGCAGTCTCATTTTCATTATGGGCCAGGAGCGACTCAAGAAGCGCATGCTCTCGCGCAAGCGCAGCGTGACTGGCCGTGCCTGGATGGGTTCACTCGCGCTCACAGTCGTCGTGGCTTTCTTCTGGCCGTCACACTGGTTCATTGTCCTCCTGCTGCTGCTCGTGCAGTTCGGTAGCATGATCTGGTACAGCCTGTCGTACATTCCGTTCGGCCGCAAGTTCCTGCACAAATACATGGCCAAGAGGGTCATTCTCGTGGACGCCATGGACGGCAAGATCGACGGCAAGTAAGCACTCAGCATGAGCTCCCGGTTGTTCCTGCACGTCTCCTCTATCTTCTGCTTTTTTATTGTGAGTGATGCACCACACGGTAGTGGCAGGAACATCAGCAGTAAGTGAAAGGTAACAAGTTCCACTTCTGCTTGTATTAATGAAGCACGTTAGTTTTTAGCATTCTACGTCATGGTCTACTGCCTGGAATGAGCTTCTAGCCAAGCCACAAAGTCGCGCACTACAGCATCACGAATGCGAGGAGGTTCACTAGCCAAGTCGTGGTGTCCTCCCTCGTACGTCTTGAAGGTTTTATCGGCGCTTCTGGTCTTGAGATGAAGCGCCGCTGAGCCGGTGACACTGCAGGCTTGGTCTGCTGTGCCGTGTTGCAGCAAGTATGGCGTCTCAATCAGCGGTAATTTATCCTGGATACTCGTGATGCCTTCTAGCAATGCAAGGCCCGTTCCGACGCGCATTTTTCCAGGGTAATACAGCGGATCCGAGAACTTCTCGGCGTCGATAATCGCTGCCACCTCGGGAGAGCTGTTCTTGCCACTGTTAGCTTTTACCAATGGCAACTTGGGCATATATTCCTGCAACAATCGGCCGATAAGCTCCATCAGATACGAAGGTCGAGAGGCTTTGTGGATCTCCGTCGCTGGACACAGAATGACGGCGCCATCGACCAGCTTCGGACTTTTACTAAGCGCATGCAGGATAATTAACCCACCCAGCGATCTGTCCAACAATCAAAGTCATGACCCAGATTAATACACACAGAGACAACTTCTATCAACTTCAACCGCTACCACGTACGCGCCAAGTAGAAAAATCTTCTTGTGGGGATACTTAACCTTGACCAAATCTATGAAGGCGATAGCGTCGTCCACCAGCAAGTCTATGCTGGAGAAATAACCGTGTCTACCATCGCTGCGGCCCATGCCCTCGTGGTCCATCCCAGCAACAAGGAAGCCGTGCTGCAGCACCTCCACCATGAACGAGTTGTTGCGGGCACTATGCGAGTTGACACCGTGCAGCACGACAACGACGGCTTTGGCGTCCTTGGCGCTGTCTAGATGCCGAGGCAGCCAGAACCGATAGAACAGCCGCACGAGTTCCCCGTTTGGTCGCGGTCGCTCCATCAAACCGGATTCTTCGTTACCTGCATGCACGTGGGAGAGCAAAAATTCCTGATGCGAGGCAGTGTGTGGAGCTCCTCGCCGCGTATTCTGGCGATCGATACCAGGCCCAAACATCGTCATGAGCGTGGCGATGCACACAGACAGGAAACCAATAAGCGCCACGAGCGCGAACAGCGCGGCACTAGCGCTCCACATGAAGGAGAACTTCTCTTGGACAAAGTTACGATGACACGCAAATCGGACTGTTGCATCAATTTTAGGTATTTTATTTTTTCTCGATTTTTGAAAACAGAAAGTTTACTGTTTTACCAGTAAATTTTAGAGATCTGATTGGCCGGGATGGCATCCAGACGAAAAAACCCCCATTAAATTTTGCTGGGTTTTTTTCGTCTGAATGCCATCCAACAACAAGCGATGGCGACGAGCATCAAGTCGAGCAAGACCAAACCGTCCCTGGACGTCTACAAACAGAGTTTTCGAGAGTATCTGGTACGCCCATAGTCATTGCATAACTGTCTTTTGCTGCACCGCTCTCACAGTAACCTCATTCTATCTAGCGCGAGACTGATGCCGTGAAGGACGAGACGGAGCTGGAGAAGCTCATGAAGCTGCTACACGAACCTCTGCCCGTGTCTTTTCGACTCAATCTGCACCGACCTGATGCCTCAAGGTGCCTATAAGATGATAATCTGATGACCATTATTTTAACATATTGACAACATGCACTTATGTTACAGGCTGAAGGAGCGGCTGGCCACCAAGCTCCAGTTCCCAAGTGACAAGTATTTCCACGGAGAAATCCCCGTGAACCCGCCCAAGTACGTAACAACACTGCAATTTTCAACGTTTTGTTAGTGTTAGCTAAATATTCTTTTGTGTAATTCCAGGCTGATCGCATGGTATCCACTGGAAAATGTGGCGTGGCAAATGGACTGCGGACGTGTGGCGCTCTCTAAAAGTGGTGTGTTGCAGTGTCAATCTGCTGACATTGAGTGGTAAATTTCTGATATGTTACTGTGTGCTGTAGCTCCGAAGCACGAGGATGTTCGTGCGTTCCATTCGTGTTTGCTGGAGCAGACGGACCGTGGCAATATCGACCGTCAGGAGGCCGTGAGCATGCTGCCGGTGCTGTTTCTGGACGTGCAGCGTGGCCACCGTGTGCTTGATATGTGTGCTTCGCCCGGTTCAAAGACGACACAAGTTATTGACTTTTTACTCTCGACTGAGAGCGATAACAGTGCAGAGCAGAGCGGTCTGGTGATTGCCAACGATCTGGACAAGAAGAGAGCGTACATGCTGGTGCATCGTCTTTCCCGTAATACTCTACGTCGCGCAGTGGTGACGTGTGGTGCTGGCGACACGTTCCCAGGTCTGTATGATGCAGAGACGAAGACTTTACAGCCTACCAACGTCTTCGATCGAGTATTGTGTGACGTTCCTTGCAGTGGTGACGGTACTCTACGCAAGAACCAGGCGTTGTGGAAAGACTGGCACATTGGTCAAGGTCTTACGTTACACCCAACGCAACTAGCGTTGGCTCTTCGTGGCGCTGCGCTGCTCAAGGTTGGCGGTATCATGGTCTATTCGACGTGTTCGTTCAATCCTGTCGAGAACGAGGCCGTTGTGGCGGAACTACTGCGTCGTGCTGGTGGATCCTTGGAGCTGTTGGATGTTTCGAAGAAAATGCCGGGTCTTGTGGCGCGTCCTGGTCGATCGAAGTGGCGTGTGGGCTGGCGCTCCAAGTCCAAGTCGACGCACAAAGGTCATATGTTCAAGGATGACAAGAAGGATGAAAACCAAAGCCTCCACCAATGGTTTGATAGCTACGAAGCACTTACCCAGGACCTGCGTGGTAACCGTGTTACACGATCGATGTTCCCTACACAGGGAGCTATTGCTGATGAACTACACAAGACACTTCGTCTGATCCCAACAGACCAGAACTCGGGTGGATTCTTCATCGCTGTGCTGCGTAAAGTGGCCGATCTACCTGGTGAAAAGGGTCTCCAGGAAGGTCTTTTGCCACTGGAAGAACTGGAGGCTACACCACCATCTGACTACGTCTGCAAGTTGTGTGGCGAGGGAGGTCACTTTCTCAAGAACTGCGAGAAATATCTGCCGGATACGGAGTTTACTGCCTCGAACACGTCGCTGAAGCCACAGAAGAAGAAACGTCGTACGGAGGAGTCAACGAAGAGTGAAGGAGACAAGAAGGAGAAGAAGCGAGAGACGCTCTACCGTCCTGTTAACGACGATGTCTGGCTGCAACTGCGTGATTTCTACGGGCTCGAGGATGAAACTTTAAAGGTGTGGAGTGCAGGTTAGTTCCTGTTGATAAATTGAGTGGTTAACTAACGCTTTGCCCACTCGTTATGATGCATTTAGGACCGCTTCTGGTGTCGCTCTGACACTGCAGCCACGGTAAACTACGTGGACAAGGAGATTTCTGACGCCTGCTTGGGAGGTGATGCCCTTGATGTACGTACTTTATACTTACGCTATCCTGTATTATACAGTTTCATTTATGCTGTGGATGACTGGATACAGATCGTCAATACGGGTCTCAAGGTCTTCACCAAGGTGACTGAGCGCGGAGAAGTGTTCTACCGTCCGTCGGAGGAGAGTCTCGGCTTCTTTGACGATTTCTTCACCAAACGGCGACTGGATATCCCCATTACTGACTTCTCCAATCTCATCAAGAACGCGGAACAGCACGTTGCATTCGACACGCTATCGCCGGACTTGCACAAGACACTCGAAGGTATGGCCATTGGCCCTGCGGTTGTCCGCGTTCAGACACATGAGCAAGTTCGTATGAATATTTGGGTGGGTAAGGGCTCGATCCTCCCGCGTGTGTCCAAGGCCATGCGTGGAGAGGTCGAAGATGCACTCAACCGGTGCTCGGAAAACTAGATAGACCGCAAATTTCACGATTTTTCCCTTGCTGCGAGAGTTCTTGCACGCATTCCCCTGACAAGGAAATAGAACGAGTCTCTTTTGCTTGCTACTTCTTCGTCATCGTTGACGAAGTGTTTTCGCTGGCGTGTGGGGATTGTCGGCTTACCAGGTAGTTGATGCACTTGTGCTGGGCCTGGCGTCGCTGGATTAGGTGCGTCCGAGTTAAGGATGTTGGTGAAAACTTCCATGAAGTCTCGCTTGGGGATACCCATCAAGCTGCTGTCGTTGTTTTCGATCCACATGCCTAGTACAAGCATGGTAAGCACCACAAGCGCCAAAATCGCTGCAATACTAGACATCAATTACAGTTAAAATAAATATTTAACCTGCAACAGCATTCAACTCACTTGTAGCCCCGCGTCAGCTTGTAACTCTTGACCACGACATGTCCGTGGTTGCCGATCACTGTAGGGCGGAAATGCAGCAACGATCATGCATATAGGCCCTCGACTTGAGGTCTGCATCGATTATTGTGAGCCCGGCAGCTTCAATTCGATCGACAGGGTGTTCCCAGGATATTTGCTTTGTGTCGATGATGGCGATGATACGACTCGCCAGCTGGACCCATTGATGTGTGGGAATCGGCCGCTTGGCGTCACCCACACGGTTGAGTGCCCCCATCTGCATTCGCTGCGTGTGAGCTCACAGTTGAGCCGCTGACCTGGAAATCAAGGGTGGACGTCCTGGTGGCTGATGCTGTTACTAGAACGAAGGAAGTTTGCGTACTGGGTGCCAACTAAGTGGGCGCGCTGATACCAAATCAATTCCGAATTCGCGAACTACTAGGCAGCGCCCAAGTAAGTTCACTCCATGGGCAATAAACACTCGAGGAAAGATCGGCATAGCGCCCCGGACGCGCGGCAGCGACGTTCTTTTTGGCGACAGCGCGGCCGATTGTCGGCTCCCTGTGATCGGACGCTTGAATCTCCCGATATTGTCCAGCCTCGTCTACCTACGATCTCAACACGACCAAGACATCAACTCACTAACTCATGCCCAGCGGGCTATCAAATACCCCTGCATATTCGAGTAACAAATCTTCGCCAGAACGAGGTACTCGCGTTCCCTCTGGTACTGATAGAGGGGACAATCGAACACGTCGGGGATGCGAATCTCCCTGACAGTGCATTGTACGTCCAAGCTGTTACGCATGATGTCGAGAAAGAAGACGAGCTGAAAAACTCATGGGTAGGGAGTGTGTGCTGGCCTGTGGTCCGGGAATCGGGACACTTCAAGGCGTTCGTGCATATTTCTCACCCTGGTAAATTCAATATTCACCTTCGTATCGCCAATGCAACGTATCAGCTACGCGTTCGATTTGAACCACAGAAGACCAAATGGATCGTGCGTTTCCACTATCAAAAACCCAGCGACAGCTACCAAGGCTTCGATGCACCAAGTGGGGTCGACAACTCCGATAGTGATGCTTGCCAACGACTAAAGTTCAATGCGATGGTGCTACAATCGACAATTGCCGAGTTATTTCACCGCGCTGGGTTCGCTCGCAAGACATTCGCCGTGGAACTTGATGCTGATGGTTTCCCAGTTGTCAATGTGCTACACTCGAATCACACTATTAGTCAAGCCCGACGAATGACAGATTCGCAGCTTTTAACACATTTAACCGAAGACATCCAAGCAGCTGAAGCACAGAATCTAAAGGGGTACAGCAAGCCATCTACGGCATCTCGCGTCAAACACGTCGTGCTGTTAGGAGGCCCCATTTTGACCCGCGGGTGCACAAAGTATCCAACTACAGAGAACTTGTTGGTGGGGATATGATTGTCAACACAGGGTTCGGATTATTTACGTGGCCTCGTAGTCTCAATGAACTCACCTCTTGCTGCTTTAATTGCGCCTCGATCGCTCCAGAATTGATCATGGATCAGTGCTCAGTGCAACAGACTTACTGGGCCAGCTACAGTGGAGCTCTCAGCATTTTACTGCATCTGCTGAGTCTCTCCTTTGGACTGAAATACCGTTCAGACGGAGTTATGCGCAAAAGTTTCCGGCAAACCACGCGTTTGCTTGTCGTAATGGAACCTCGGTCAGGGAAGAAACAGCTAGTTGCTGTGGGCCGTCCAGTTGGAGATGGAAGGTTTTACAAACTTGAGAGTCAGGCCCTTAAACCTGTAGGGGCTACTTTAGAAGGCATTTATCTGGATGAACTATCTATTGGCGAGCTGGCTATTCACTGTCGGTGGATCAATCCTAAACTCGTAAAGTATGTAGTAACGACAAACTCGGCCACTGCAGCGTAACACTCGGACCTGAGATATTGCCTGTAGCCGCGAATATAACGAAAAAAGGAATGAAACTTCACTTCAATGTTGAAGCGAATGCAAATCCCCTTCAGATAGAGACTTTTGAATTGCTTAAGTGTGGCTGAAACAAAGCCTCTACACAAAATAATAATGGAATCGTGAAAGCACTCGTCCGTAGTGCTGGTGCACTACCGTTTAAATACGACATTGCACGACCACTGCGAAAGCTTAGCAAAACTACTCAGCAAGTATCGACCTCATTTAAATTATTAGTGATAGTGGAGTAATAATGAAGTAGAAATGGCCCAAAGTTGCACAATACCTTTAGAATTGCTGACATTTTAAGAGTTTGCAAATTTGTGACTCTACACAGGTAGTAATCATGTCCATTTTTGCTGGCGTCGACGTTATTAATGTTATGTTCCGCTGTTGACCCCTACCGCGACCGATGTCACGTGAAGTGCGTTGGCGGGATAAGCCCGAAGTGGTAAGCATTTCTGGACAATGCCCTACCACATGGCAGTTTTCTCCATGTGTAGATGCGCTATGCTCTGCAAAACTGCGGTACGCATACATCTAAAACCCTCTGTGAATTGTAATCTGTGCGGCACCAGGAAACGTATAGCAGCACGTCTCAGTCATTCGCAAATTTGCGTTCTCCTAACGACAAGGAGACCTCACCCACTCCGGGTACTATCACCGCAACACTATGGGCTTTACTCGATTTTCCTTCTTCATCGCGGCGGTCTGCTCGGCACTGCAGCTTGAGCTCAACACTGCTGATCTTGTCACCTATGACTGGCGGGTCACTTCGATCGCTGCGGCTTTCGACGGTGTCTCCGTACCAACCATCGGCATCAACGACAAGGCTGCCGACCAAGCTCTCATCGAGGTGGAACTTGGACAAGAAGTCGAAGTACGTGTCACCAACGAACTCGACGTTCCCACTTGTTTACACTGGCACGGTTTGAAGCAACTTGGGACCCAAGAGATGGATGGAACGTCGGGTATCACGCAATGTCATATCGATCCGAACGGAACGGCGGTATATCGTTTCACACCCGATAAGGCCGGTACATTTTGGTGGCACAGTCACCACTCTACGCAGTATGCGTACGGGCTTCGCGGCCCATTAGTCGTCCACGCTCCTGCTAATGAACGACAGCCGTGGGAAGAGGATATCGCTGAGGAATTCACCGTCCAATTGGCTGACCAATACCACGATGCACCGGTCGGAGCTCCTATTTGGGATAGTATCATTATCAACAACCGGGGGCGCTACAACTGCGCTGCCGCGAAGTCTCATGGTTTTACGAACTGCACGGACGACCAACCGCTATCCAAATTCCACTTTGAAACCGGTAACAAGTACTTGTTACGTCTCATCAATATGGCGGCGTTATCTCCCATCGTGTTTAGTATAGACGACCATGAATTCCAGGTTGTTGCTGCAGACAGCGACTATCTCCAGCCCACGGACCTCATCAACTCGATTACAATCAACGCTGGCCAGCGCTACGACATCATAATCCAAGCAAAGAATTCTAGCTCGGCTAACCATACTGGTTCATACTGGATGCGTGCTACGGGCTTGTATGGAACACCTTGGACGGGAGGAAACGCACAAATGGCTGGTGACGGCTTCAATTACGAAGGGTTGGCAGTTGTTCACTATGGGGCTGACGACGAGATCGAGCCCACATCCAAACAGGCAACGAATGTGACGACTGTCGGCGAATTTGAGTTTACGCCTCTTTTATCAACAGTGCTGCCGTCGACTCCATCGGACCGTGCGATTCTTGAATTTGATCTTCGCTTTGGTTTGGGATACTTCTCGATTGATGGTGGTGACTATAACAACTTCGTTGTGCCAGATGAACCACCACTCTTCACTATCGCTGGCGGTATGAAAACGGAGGAGCTGCCCACCAGTGTGAACGCTCGTAAGATCGAGTACGGTATGCACATTGAAGTCGTGCTGGTTAACAACATGAACGAACAGCATCCGTTCCATCTACACTCGCATTCACCATGGGTAGTAGGCAGCGGCACGGCTTCAATTGAGGAGATCCGTAATAACTCGCTTCCAGCCTTGAAGCTTGAAGGAGCGATGACCCGTGATGTATACACCGTTCCACCGTGCACCTACGACGAAAGGGATGTGTGTACTACGGATGTGGGATATTTAGTCCTTCGTTTCACTGCGGACAATCCTGGTGTGTGGATCTTTCACTGCCACATTGACTGGCACCTGGATGCCGGCCTGTCAATGGTCTTCGTGGAAGGTGAAGAAGAATTGCGTGAAAAGGGAGTGAATGCGTTCTCCAACAGCATGCTGAGTGTGTGTGGTAGCTCAAGCTCCACAAACTCGAGCTCAAGTTTGACAGGTTGATATCCATTAGGTCGCCTTGCAATAAAAGACCGAGACAATTTAAGCACGCTGATCGTAAACTAGCCTCAAAACTAATGCAGTCCCCAGCCAGACAATTCTCTTTGTAGTGATACCGTAAGGAAACCACTTTTTATTACTGTCCGGAGAAATCACTATCTAGAGCTGTACCAGTACAAAGGTACCGTTGATTTTATGCTGACTGCAAGGTCGATCTTCAGGCTGACGCGATTAGTCTGCCGCATCAAGCAATGAGAGGTTTCAGACTCTGCAGAGAGCGTTCAGAAGGAAGTTGGGCCGCAAGCGGGGTTAAAACAAGAAAAATAGAGAACTGTAGTTTCTGGGGCTATTTGAGGTTTCGGAGCTAATCGAGGATTATCACGTGTTGTTCCAAAAATAGATTCCTTGGAATAACAGCCTGAGGCAGGCTTTTTGATAGATACTGTGGCTTCGGACCAAGCTCACGGTAATTTTTTTTAACTCAATAATATATAAGGAAGGCGTGGGGGACTCCTACAAACAATATAGCTAATCATACTTTTCCTGATTGATCGCTCTGTTGACTATTTCAACATATGATACTGTACCATTAATTTTGAACCGAGTGTACTACTCGGCAGGTGTTCAAAACGAGATGGAGAGGCTTGGCCAATCAGTTGTGATTGTGACTTCGAGGTCAGTAGTGATAAATGTTCACGAAATCGAGGTCAGTGTTGATAAATATCCGTGTACTTAACGAGTCCCGGTCAACCAAGATTAGGACCAGATGTATGCTTTATCGCTGCTCTCGTTATCTACAGTACTCAGGTTTCAAAATATTCCTACAACGGGCCGAAAAATTAATCGACGAAAACTATGACTGGCTCGGACGATAGTAAGGTCGCCATTCGGGGGTATTTGAGCCAAGCAAGAGAAAAGTTGGACTACATAGCATAGGAAAATCGGGATTAAGGGAGAACCTTAACCTAAAATGTAACGGTTACTCTGATTTTGGTGTCGGCAATTATAATTTAAAAAAAAGAAAACACAATACGGTTCTATCATGATACTGTATTGAAAACTCAGGTTTGCAGGCAGTTAAGAAGATTTGACAATAAAATGTGAGGATCCAATTCTGGTGATTGTACAAAATACAGGGATTCTATGCATCGTTTTGCGAGTAAAGCGTGCAACCTGTGCAAACTTAACGAAACGTGAGGGAAAGGAATGTTTCGAAATCCACCTATTATCCTCCCAATTCAAGGATTGTCCTCGTATAAATATGATGAAAATTTCAAGATGAAAGTTTGTAAATGTATATCGAAAGGTCAACAATATGATATGTTCTCTGGATATTTATATCCAGAATAGCGATCAGAGAGCGTCGACGATTCTGTCAAATAACATTTTATGGATATATCTGTAATTATTTGAAACCTAAAAGCGAATATTTATATGCTAAAATGACGCAGAAACTAATAAACTGTTTTCTTGTATGCCCAAAAGGGTGAATGTTGACCCAGCCGGCCTAGAACAACATTCAAGCAACCTTGTACGAATGTAATCCAGTCACATTCAAGCTACCTTATGGCTTCAACTTAGGGATTGAAGCCACGGAGCAGTTAGCAAATACAACCACACAAATGTCATGCATCCAGCTTCAGATATACATGCATCTCGATGCAGCACATGTACTCAAAACGAAATTAACACTGGGATACG